ATGAACAAAAACGTTCTTACTGCATGTTTCATTCATTGAGGAAAAGCTTACAACTATTTATAGAGTACAGAGTATTTTAGTATACAACCTATACTAGGAAATTCTTAATTACAAAAGAATCAAGGAATTATTTTCTGAAATTGACAGCTAACTATCCTATCACTCACAGCTTGCATTGACTCAATAAATCAGGAAACTATCCCTAAGAATCCTACCATTGACTAGACAAATCAGGGAATGATTTCCTTGATAATTTGAGTCAACGAATCTTGATAGATTCGTCAACACAGACAATAAATATTTTGAGGGGTTATTAAAAAGACACGAAGGAGAAATCCCAAATCCACAATTGCCGAGATGGCAGGAATGGTTATCCAAATACCGTTATTCGGTCAAACACATTAAAGGAAGCCATAATGTCCTAGCTAACTACCTGTCAAGACCTTTGGAAACAAAAATACAAGATTCCTCTGCATTAAATAGCCATTATCCATTAAATGGCTATTCACCTATAAATACTACCAAAGACTCCCACGTACTTCAACATTCCATTACTTTACCACAAATAAAGATAATGATGATCAAGGGGAGTTCTAGCAAGAATCCAGACCTTGTAGATGGTAAAAGAGAGCTAGGCATCAGTCTATGGATTCAACTACCTCTAGAGTAGGGCCGGCAATATGGGTCACAACACGACTCGAAAACGACACGAATTTCGCGGATTAGGGTTGAGAAAAAGAAATTCGGGTCAGAATTGGATCGACCTGAAATTGACACGAAAAACACGGGTCAATTTCGGGTTGGACCCGCCTAACCCGAACACGACACGAAACTTGTAAAAAAACTAAAAAATACATATATTTTTCATTACATATTTTGGTTTTATTATGAACTTATGATATCATGATTGTTATACTTAAAATCTTTATAGTACTATTTGCTTAATTTTAATAGATGTTATTGTATTTTAGTGTGTTATGAATTTTAAGTTATTTTTAATATGTAAAAAATTAAATAAAAGTATACAATTTTCGTGTCAATTTCGGGTTCACGGGTCAATTTCGTGTCACGAGTCATTTTCGTGTCATGTCGTGTCAACCCCTAAAGTGGTCATGTCGTGTTCGTGTTGCGATTTTTAAAAAATTTCGCGTCACAGGTCGTGTTCGGATTGACTGCAAATTTAGAAAGAAACGATCAAAACACGACACGAACACGACACGTGACACGAATTGCTACCCCTACTCTAGAGCTTATAAGAAACATCATTTTCTTAAGTATATTATTGATCTAAGAATACGTAATGATGAGATGATGAGAAAAATTAGTCAACTGCTTGGAAGTAGAATGTGAAAATTAGACAGGAAAAGAAAATCTTGCAGAACTCACAACAAATATTATGCTGAGTGTACTACCATTCCCAAAGAGACTGTATCATACAGTCTTTTCCCTAAGATATATGTTCACAAACAGGATCATTATAGACCAATTTTCGTGCACCGTGCTTTTCTCCAGACATATGATAAACTTGTCAACACTGAGCTACTACACGTACTGGCTACTTCTTAATCTTCGGCCAATGGCAATATATTTTGAACCGGCAGTCATGAAGATGCATTGGGCGCTCGGCTATGGACACTTCCAGTGTGTTTGGTAGGGTGGAAAGGAGAGAGGAAAGAAAATAGAGGAAGGATTTTGTAGAGGAAAATGGAATTTTAAGTTGTTTGGTAGAGGAAATGAGGAATGAAGGAAAATAAAAATTCATGAGACCCACCAATTTTTAATCCTTCCAACTTTGGGAAGAAAAGAGGAGGGAAAAAATTTGACAAAAAAAAAGATGTAAAATAACAATTTTAACTTTTACCGTTCATCATATTTTTATTTGAATTAGAGTATTATTGTAAAATGCCTTAAATTTGACATTTTCTTCACTTTTCTTTCTCTCCTACCAAACAATATGTGAGAATTTTACTTCCTTCACCTAGGTATTTTACTTCTCTTTCCTTCCTCTTTCTATCCATTCTACCAAACATAGCATTCATGTTCATAATGTTTATAAGTCAGAAATAAATGACTTTCACAACTTGACTTTCAAAGGGGGATTCGAGCACAAAGCCTACAATTATCATCATTAGGCTATCTGATTTTTGAGGTGATTTTTTTGAACCTATGATTATCCCAGTAGATCATGTTCATCCTGACATCCACTTTTACTGGGCTCATGACTCCTTTTATGGATGCATGACAGTACAACGTGCCTTATCTGAAATCTATGGTGGACCCCCATTACAAAGAAAATTATTTACTCAACCAAGGTCACTGATAGCAACTTGTTAGTTTGTTAGAGAAGTTAGTAGTTAGTTAGAAAGAATGTTATTAGTTAGTTACTGTAGACTTTAGTTGGTTAGGGAATTAGTTAGAGAAAGCAGGAGATATTAAAAGGGGGGTTCGGGAACTAAGAGAGGGGAGGAAAATACTGGAGTCTTGTACAGGAAGTCTTGGCTAAGGCTGAGCAGGGGAGATTTAGCAGTATCTCGAAAGACTGCTTTTGTAATTCATTTCCGTTAGTCAACAAAGATCATATTTCGTTCTTCTGATTCTTTTTTGTTGTAGTCAATATTCTGTTCTTATCAATTTGGTATCAGAGCATTGATTCTGGGCTACAATGGCAGCTAGGAAAACAGATGAAAGGTTCGAACTGGTGGAGAAGGAGATCAAGGAAGTTAGGGTTTCCATGGAAAAGGGAATTGGTGAGATGGAGAAAGGGCTCGGGGAGGTTAGGGTGGAATTATCACAAAATAGGGCGGATCTGATTGAGATCTGCCGTCTGATGGAAGAGCAAATGCAGCTTCTGTTGGCGATGGGGAAAGTGAAGATGCCGGCAAAGGAAATCGGCCCAAGCGTCGCCATAAATCGGGATGGGGAATTTGGTTCGGGTCAAGTTGCAGGCCGTGGGTCGTTGGCCAGAGTTGAGGAAATTGGGCGTGAAGGAAGGATTCCGGCCGATCACAGGGTTTCCAGCGAAGATTGCCGGGAGGTGTTAGGGGTTGTCGGCGGCGGGGTTAGGTTGAACGGAGGGGGAATCAACCATGGAAAAGGGCCGGTGGTGGAACCTAGGGATTTTGGAGGGGCTCGACGCGAATCAAACCTGAACGGAGATCCTTGGGCAACGTTTGGCGGCGGAATAAGTTTCGATTTCGGCAATTTGGGGGCTGGGTCTCGCGATTTTTGGTCTGGGTCTTGGAATTCAAGAGTCGTTAAGGCTGATTTTGGAGCAATTTTGACTGGGTCTTCGCCTTCTGGCATGGTTGGAACTAGGTCAGCGTTTTTGAGCGTGAATTCAGGCAAGATTTTGGCTGGGTTCTGAAATTCCGGCCGAATTTGGATTGGATGCCGAGATTCTGGCGCAATTGGGGCTAATTTCCACGCAATTGGGGTTGGGCCTCGCAACACCAACGTGTTTGGGGCTGGAATAGGGAATTTAGGCGTGAATTCTGGTGAAATTAAGACTGTGTCTTGATCTGCCTGTGCGGACAGGGCAACTTCAGCAAGGTTGGGGCTGGACTTCCTAATTCCAGCAAGATTGAGGCTAATTTTGGTGCAATTGGAATTCACCCTCGAAATTTCAGCGAGTTTGGGGCAGGGTATGCAGAAACTGGTGTGCCTAGAGTTCAAATTAGGAAGTTTGCAAATGGCAGACTTGAAATTGGTGGGTTTGCAACTCCAAAACCCAACCTGTCTCTTGTTCACTGCTTTAGGACCCATTGTTGTTAGGATCGTCGCTGCCGAGTTCATGGTTCCAAGCCTCTCTGTTGTAGCCTTCATCACCGCTGCACTTGACTCTCCTAGAGTCAATGCTCCATTCGACGTTTCAAGATTCAAGCTCATCGATATGGGAAGGAAGTGGAGTCATTCAGCTGCAATTTCTTGACTTACACCTTGAGGACAAGGTCTTTGTTTGGAACGGGAGTAATGATAGCAACTTGTTAGTTTGTTAGAGAAGTTAGTAGTTAGTTAGAAAGAATGTTATTAGTTAGTTACTGTAGACTTTAGTTGGTTAGGGAATTAGTTAGAGAAAGCAGGAGATATTAAAAGGGGGGTTCAGGAACTAAGAGAGGGGAGGAAAATACTGGAGTCTTGTACAGGAAGTCTTGGCTAAGGCTGAGCAGGGGAGATTTAGCAGTATCTCGAAAGACTGCTTTTGTAATTCATTTCCGTTAGTCAACAAAGATCATATTTCGTTCTTCTGATTCTTTCTGGTTGTAGTCAATATTCTATTCTTATCAGTCACCAACCTCGGCACTTGTGCAACAATATCTTGATGATGTGGATAGATATTGGGATGAGTGGTTTAAAGCAAAAGCAAACACGGGAGAACCACCTGAGGAGCTAGACTCAAATGATGGCTCAAATCCATATGTAGACATGGAACTTATCGACATAGGTTCCTGGCACAGCATTGACTGGCTTTCCAGTGATGAAGACTAAGCCCACGAAAGCGTGGTGGGTTTAGGGTTTAGGATTATTTTAATGCCAATACCCTAATGACAATACCATATACCCTAATCCCTATACCCTAATATAATATAATAATATTATATTAGGATATCTGTGGATATGTAGATATGTACATATGTGAGAAGACGGTGAAATAAATCCATACACAAGACTTCAATTAATGCCATGTGAAGATCATATGAAAGCTATGTGAAGACTTTGGCTAGGAATGTGATGTATTTCATATAATCATGCGAGAAAATTCCAAAAATTAACCCTAAAAACCCTATCCATCCCAACAAAACACATAACTGTACCAACTGAACAAACCCTATTACTGTTGCTCTTGCAACAAAACACATGTCATCCCAACATTCCAAATAACTGTACCAGAGTGAACTGAAATTAGGAAAACACTTATCTTAAGATACGTTCTAGTCCCCTTGAAACCACTAGAAGCATCAATAGAGCTAAAAGGACTAACAAAAGCCGAACATGTAGCGTACCTCTCAAGAATTTGATAAGGATCCACTACAAGCTGGAGCTTCCCATCTATCCATATGGAATATCGAACATTGGGAAAGATCCTGTGTAGTAGTAGCTTTGGGATCTGCACAAGAATATGCTGGATCATAACATCTAACAATTCTAGCAAAATTTCATCTTAATCCATAGTGGTAGAAAAAGAGCAAATCAACCAGAATCAACAAACCTTTCCGTTTCGTCTTGAATCATTGTACGGAATATTGTGAACGACAATAATTCTCCACAATCCAACCCGCTTACTGTTGTCTAGGACACTGGAATTCTTTAAATACGCTTCTGTCTCTTCATCAATAAACATGTAGAATGGAATGGTTTTTCGTGCCAATTCACTAACATTCTTGGGTTGTTGTATTAAGTCATAATTTCCTAGCAAAGGTGTGACCATGAGGAAGAGCGGTAAAAAATAAATAAGAGAGAGAGAGCTGTCATAATTTCCTAGCAAAGGTGTGACCGTGAGGAAGAGCGAAAAAAAATAAAAATAAAAAATAGAAAATAAATGAGAGAGAGAGAGAGAGAAGAGGGAGATAATAAATGGAAGTAAAATTCATGGCATGTCCTAAGTACCAAATATAGCTGATGCAACAATGACCTCATGAGACTGCTCTAACTCCATAAGGTCAACTTCATCAATATCAAATCCAGTCCGGAAGCCAGGCCTACTTCCTCTGACAAATCTGCCAGAACAAGTTTATTTTTTATTGAGTTTTGTTATGATTCAATCCATTTATTGCAAAATTATTCAATTCTTTGTTATGATTCAATCCATTTATTGCAAAATTATTCAATTCTAAGTCTTCATTGCTTATTAAATAATCCAAGCAAAACATACAGTGATACAGAAAGAAGAGAACTTACCCACAGTGCACTTGCATTGACTCCTTTATATCAAAAGAATCATCCCTCTGCTTCAGAGAAGGATACCCACCAAATTCAGAGCCACCAAAAGGCTCAGTTCTAGTTGGATTGTCATCAAGAATATATGACAAATTAATGATTACAGGTGACACTGATGCGGACCTTGGCATCATAGTGACCGCCTGCTCCACAGGAAGATAACATACTGGACATGCTGAAAGAAATAAGCAGCAAAAGAATCACTAGCTATTATCAATGCGCGTAAATTCTCATACTTGGTCAAGATGCTAGACCATCACATGATGCATATTCAGGTAACATACAATTCTGAACCAGTTCCAGCAATAATAGAACTAGTAGATGCCACTGAAAAAAATATATTAAATAAAAAAATTGACTCACGGCGCGGTCCAATCCTCTTTGGATTAGCTGGAGGAGGTGGAGGAAACGCGAAATTTTCACATTGATGGGCAGCCGGAACAGAATTTCGAGAAACCGAGGTACTAGAAAGCTTCGGGTCGAAACGATTGTCATGATCCTCGGGAAAAATCAGACGCCTAGTTCTGCCCCTTCTTGTAGTAATGATCTCGCGAGCAGAAAAAATCTCATCGTCACCGAAGGTAGCTCTAAATTCAATAGGCGGGCCATTGTCAGCAGTTCTGATGTTTTCAATACGTTGGGCGATTTTCAAGTTAGCGTTTTCTGGTTCATCACAACAGAGAAATCAGAATCAAAACCACGAGACTGAAATATGCTATTTCCTTCCAGTAAACGACAATGTTAACAACAAGAACCCAAGATTTTCAAATTAAATGGTGCAGAGAAACCAAATCCATCATATGGGCATCGCATAAAACATCAATTAAAACTAGTATAAAACAAAATTTCAAGCGTTCATTACCCAAAAAAAAAAAAAAAAACGGTGAAAAGAAAACAAACCTTTGTTAACAGTAAATGAACCGAACACAAAGACGAAAAGAGCGAGGACGACGAGAAGAAGCATGGCGATCTTCCGTCGACCGAAAAATCGGCAGAGCAAAGGCCGAAGCTTTTCCTTCTCTCTCGAAAGAAGAAGCTTCGAGGGCTTGCGGAGGAGAATCGGCGTCGGCTGAACATTCCAGAATCCATTCTTCTGTTGCTGCTGATGTTGATGTTGTTGCTGGTGTTGGTGTTGTTGTTGTTGATGTTGTTGTAATTGCAATGATCCATAACTCCCCGTGCGGAGACCTAATGACCCTCCAGTCATTGTACCTTTGAACCGAAAATCATCTCCTTCCTCGTCTTCTTCTTCTTCTCCTCGTCGCATAAAACCCCCTCATTCAGAATTACCAGAAGAGAAATTCAAAATTCAAACGCCAATCGAACAGGGAAATCGGATTCGATTCTCGAAATTGACAATATTATTGACTTCAATGGCCAATGCGATCGGATTTTCGCGAAATGAAACGATGGAATTCGATCAACGCCAAGCAAGCAAATTTGAATCGGAACCGGAATCGGAATAAATCAGAATCTTCCGATGGATCGAAAACCAAGAGCAATAGGAACAATGCGAGATCAATTGGAAGAATGCGAGAGAATTTCAAAATCGAAGTTGGATTTCCGATGTGCAGAAGAAGAACTTTTCTAGGGTTATGTAGAGCCTATTACATATGTTTTTCGGCATTCACATTCGCGCCGTTTATCTACTTTAGCTAATTTATTCTCGTTTAATTTATTATCTTTTCGGGTATAATTCTTGGAATGTGCAAAGAGAAAATTCAAAAAATATGCTCAAGAATTTAACTGAAAGAACATATCTCTTAATTAGTGTCTAATAGATAATGGATTGTGTTAAAACAAAAAATAAATAAATAAACACTCAGCTGTCTTCCCCTAAAAAAGCCATTTTAACTTAAGACGTAATTCTGAAAAAACACACATTTATATTAAACATTAGTTAATTAGAGAAATCATCTAAATAATTAAATTGAAAAATTTTCTAAAGTAAAAGAAATCTAACATTTAAAAAAACCAAAACAAATTGGAAAAAAAAAAAGGTGACACAAACTTGTTTAGGTTGCTTTTACAACTTTTAAAAGCATTTGCATAAAAATCTATGCAGTTTATAGTGTTTAGTTAAGAGATTAAAAAACACTTTACACAAAAATCAATACACTTTTTAAGTTATTTATAGAATTTTAGAATTTTTTGCTTTTAGAGCTTTTTTCTGCTTTTAACTTTTACTTTAAGTAAAATAGTGATTTTTTTAGAATATCTCCAACTAAACTCTCTAAATTTTAACTAAATTTTAAATAAAATGACTATAAAATTATTATAGTTAGCAGCTTTTTAGTAAGTCACTCCAATTATATTCTCTATTTTAACTAAACATAAATTATTTTCATATTTTTTTATGTTTAAAATATAAATAAATTTTTTTAATTTTTACTTTATGTCAAAACAAAGAATAAAATATTAAAAAAATAAATAACTAACTACTTCTTGCTAGCTATATTTAACTGTGAAAAATACATAAATCAAAATAACTAATCATTTAGTTAATGGTTGGAGTGGAGAAAAAATTTTTAAAAAAAAAAGTCAAATAATTAATTATTTTAATTAAAAATATGAAATGATTAATATAGTTAGAGTTGCTATTAAAACCACGCAATTCCAAACTCACCGAAGTCATTATCAATATAGATGTTCATGAAACCCACTTTACCTGCCTCACTCGCCCACATCACCTATCAATTTTTTGAGCAAGCAAGTTTAAGTGATAAAATTCTTGGTGGATTGATACTTGGCTTTCCCAGCCATGTCGTAGAAACAAATTTAAAAAAGGAAAAAAAAAAACACACAAACACACATTTAGAGTTATTGAATGGGGATGAAAGCAGGATTAGGGATTATATTTGCCTCGTTCATTTTACCGATTCGAGCTTTCAGTTTTAAGTTTTTACAGTAAAAAACTTTCAGAAAATGTCACATCTAATTTTTTTCTGCTACAGTGAAAAGTTTTCAGAAAATATCACATCTCAATTCAAATTGAAAACTCGAATCCGTAAAGTGAACGAGGCCACCCAAAGCGGGGGCGAAACGGGAGCGGGAGAAATACCCTTCCCCTACCCAGATATACATATACATATATTTAAAAAATATTTTTAACACACACACATATATATATATATATAATAGTACTTAAAAATATGGGATTAAAAAAATTTAAAAGTATTTTACTATTTTATCATATTAAAAAACCCTAATAATTCCTAATTCTTATTATAAATAGTAATTTTGTTTAACCTAAATCTAATCTATATAGTATATTCATCTATCTTGAGATCTTTAAGATCATCTCTGTCGTCCGTCACTTCTTAATTACAATTTAAAATTTCTAATGCTTTACTTTAAAGATTTTAATTTATCATTTAGGTTTAGATTGAACTTTTAGAATTTGATTTCATATGGTTCTAAGATTTGATTAGTTATTTTAGAGTTTGAATTTTCTTTTAAAACATTGGTTTTTTTTCCTGATATATTAACTTTACAATGAATTTTATATTTAATTTAATGAAATTTATTTAAGTGTTAATAATATCCAATATTTATTTTCTTAATGAATAAATGGTAAGGCATAAAGAAAGTCTTCCTGATGTGGATTCTCCGACCCGATTCTTAATACACATATATGGAGGCGTGTATGGCAGCAAAAATAAAATAAATTCTTAATACACATATATGGAGGCGTGTATGGCAGCAAAAATAAAATAAAAAAGGGGACAGGGTTAGGGAAGCATACCCGACTCCATTCCGCCAGATACTCATCCCTAATCTCGTTCATATTTTTATAATTGGTCAGAAAGTCGTCCTCATGACTGTAATACTTAACCTGTGATTTTCATTTGTCCCTAAGAAGTGTGAATTGATTTGTGAACATAATAATAATTGTCAAATAGATGCACTATTTTGCCGCTGGTTTCTTCAACAACACAACAAAATTTAACTTGAAAAATGTTGGATGCTTCTCCTTTAAACTTTTTACCATATGATAAATTATCTTCTAAACTTAATTTAGTTAATTATCTTCAGAACTTAATTAAATGGGTCTTTTTATGATAGAACATTATTTCAATAGTGAATGTTTTCTATAGTTGGATTTGATCAAAATCACGTAAAAATAAAAAATATGTAAAACAAATAGTTTCTGAGATAAATTTAACGACTAAAAACCAGAGACTTGCTAGTAGTTTATTTTTTTCAAGTCTCCACTATTTCAGTAGTAGAACATTATTTCAGTAGTAGTTTAAGATATTTCTATTTTGCCCCCACTAAAATTTAATATTTTTATACATGTCCTCACTCAATTTTACACTTTTTAATATGTAATTAATAGTTATTATAATATATCATCATACATATTTCTTTTATTATTTGTTATAAAAAATTCAATATACACCCCACTAAAGTGAAATGTTGACTCCACTACTAATTGTAAACGTCACGTAATGGGTTTGCTTTCATAACTAAATTTATATGATAGAAAAAGATTGGGCGCCAACGCCTTCAAGATCAATCTTACCTCTAAAAAGACGCTATTTCACACCTATATGATTGATTGCAACTGCTTAGCCAAAGTGATATTTCTTTGTTTATTTATTTCTACTTTGGTCAATTGCTCTAAAACCTCAAATTTTTTAACAAAAAGCCAATTGCTCGAAATTGTGTTGTATCACTAAAACATCAAATTTAATATTTTGAACAAAACGCTTTGATCTAAATGCCTAATGATTATATTTAAATTGGTGGTTAGTGACGTGGTAAGAATTATAAATGCACATCTATTGGACAATTCAATCCAAGAATGGAGAACATTTTGAGAAAATGGGCTGTCGGAAGATGCTGCTCGGTCATCCCACGTATTATCAACTTGAGTAATTATGGTGACGTTTGTCAACTTGAAACAAACGTATGTGATACATTAATATTTACTCACATGTATGATGGCTTTGGAAACTAGGTCGATAGAAAAAAAAAATAAAAAAAATAAAAAATTCTGACATCAACCTTTGCTTATCAATGGTGAACCAAAAAGAAAGCGAAACATAATTATGCTGGATTGAATTTTATTGGGCATTTTCATTAGGTTAAATAGTATGAAAACAATGAAGCAAAGTTTGAATAATGCTATGATGTTAGGTGCAATTGTCTGTATGCATAAGTGGGTAAGTTCAGCATGCTCATGGAAGTAAAAAGAATACTTGCTACTTCTCTGCCATTGTTTTACCTGAGTACGTACGTCTTCAAAACTTACATCAGGTTTCTCTGTCTGTAATTTTCCATCCCAACTGGAATCAAATTCTTTTGATTATTGTACTTACCATTTATGGCCTTTATACCATTTTAATATATGCTTCATTGTACCGTTCGCTTAGCCCCTCTCGGCTTCAAAATTTATGGTACTATTGGAGGTTTCCTTTTTGTGATTAGAGATCTCGTCTTTGTTCTTTGTTGTTATTTTGATTCCATAAACACGAAGTTATTTCCGTCATTTGTGCGTTGTTATGTGTTTTTACAGTGTTTTTATTTTCTGGTGTAATAATGAAGGTGCTCTCTTCATTCATTCCGAGGTTATTGATGTGTTTTGTTGATTGTAAAGGTGTTGTTAGAAAGAATTATATGTGTGCTTTCATTCAAATTTACTAGTAGATGTGATCTATATTCGGGGTCAAGTCTCCTTACGTCTTAAGGTCATTTACGTTAGCTTTTTAATGTTTGTAATGCTCTACTTTGATATAAAATTTCCCTTTAAAAAATAGCAAAAATTCATACCATATGTTATCTTGAAGGTGATTTGCTCACATTATCAATAGACTTCTAATATATTTTAAAATATAATATTTTCTAATTACCACAATTTCTTGACGTTTAAGGCAGGGAGGGGAATACTGCCACCAAGCAACCTACAAAACTCCCTCTTTCCAATTCTTTTCAGTAATCTATTTGATTTTTCTCGACTTTGAACTTTTTTTTTTTCTCTCTCCGCATATCTGATCAATTATATGGCATTTGACTTGGGTAGATGATGTGCGTATATGTCCCTTTTTCTATTTTTTTTTTGCTTGAAATGCCCTTTTTCTATTTTCGTATAAAAGATCAAACCATCTTTTTAAGACTATTTCACTTTTACGTGCCATGCACATGCAGAGCAATGTGAGTGTTAAGTTTTAATTATTGTATTATTATTAAAACATATAAAATTTGATTATAAAATCTCAAAAAGGGAAAAAATAAAGTTTTAAAAGCAAAAAAAAGGGTAAAAAATGACTAAAATGAACAAATAAATAAGTTTCAAGGCAAAATGAATCAAAATAGAAAAAAAAATAAAGTTTCAGGGTAAAATTAAAGAAAGGGGTCAAAAAATGATCAAAATAAATAAATAAATAAATTTTAGGACAACAGAAACCAAAACAGAAAAAAGTAAAGTTTTAGAGAAAAAGTAAAAAAAGAAAAAAAAAAAAAAAAAGGTCAAAAGAGGATCAAAATAATGGAATAAATAAGTTTTAAGACAAAACGAATCAAAATAAAAAATAAATAAAATCTCAGGACAAAAATATAAAAAAAAG